GATTATAATGGAGTTTTGTGAGATCGCGATGAACTAAGGTGAGTGACAGCTTTTAATGATTATTAAGGGAGTTTGCAAATGTGATATTGATTTAATACAACAGTTCATTAAACAAGAAGTTAATATTAAGTGACTTACATTGTCTGACAACAACACAATTGCCTTATTTTGCTCTATTTCGTCAACGAAAATAGTTTTTTTTTTAAAGTAACAGCTGAGCCGCTGCGCATCTCCATTCAAACACAGCGGTGTTTCGTTTATGAATGAACGTTTTTTTTTTAAACGAATCTAGTGAGTCAGTGATTCAATTACCCATTCATAAAGACAGTCACATACTTCGTTCCTGAATGAATCAGCTGTTCGAACGAATCAATTGAATGAATGATTCAGTGATCAAATCAGTAACTTGCCGCCACCTGCTGGCAGTTTTAGTTTCATTTTTAAAGTATCTTTTCTGTTATTTAAATCATTTCTATATTCAAAATTTTATATTTAAAACATTAACCTCAACATGAATTTATGAATTTAATTGCACTCATGCGACCTCTGAGCCTCATTAAACGTCTGAAAATACACCTACAAGCCACATGTGTGTTCTTCTGTGTAATCTCTGTAGTACAAATTTATTTCTTAAATACTGATTTCACTTGATTGGTAACTTATTCTTATTCTACTTGTTTTTATTCTGTTGTTTTAATTAGAAATGGTAAAAAGCTTATAAATATATATTTTTGAATTTGACATAAAAGATTACATACTTTTAATAAAGTTAGAAAAATGCCATTACAAAGGTAAAAACAAAATTCCCAATAAATCACTTTAAGGAGTCAAATATAACAAATTTACTTAAACTAAAATTTAAATGAAAACTGCAAATATACTAAATATACTAAAATACTTTAGTATATATAATAGTATCTTAAAACAACACTTTTCACAATATGGACTGAATACTAAATCATGATGTTGCTTTTCATCTTCCAGTTAATTAAAAAAATAATACATACATTTATTTAAATAAATAATAAATTGTTTGATAAAAAATAAAAAAATATATTAATTTGATTTTACTAAATGCATTTATTAAAATAAATAAATACATAATTGAATAGCACATCTAACCTGGGTTATTATTAACTAAAACTAAAACCATTAAAAAATCGTATATTACTTATATATTAAACTGATTTCAGCTAGTTATAAAAGTTAAAGTACAAAAATATCTAAAACTTAAAAACTATGTAGATATATTTTTGAAAAACTTATAAAAATGACAAAAACTAAATTACTAAAACTTTAACTAAAATGTAAATGTCAAAATATTAACAAAAACTATAATAGTAATGATATTAAAATAACAGTGCATTTAACAATACAGTACTTTAGTTTATTTTACGTTTGTTTCATTTAGCGAGTAGCATTCTATTAACATCTTCCAGTTAATAAAAAAATAATGAAAATAATAAGTGGCATCCAGTTACTACAAAATTATATATATATACATGAAGAGTTCATTTGCAAAAACCAATAACTCCATTTTAATTTTTTTTCAGAAATCATGTTTTTTAAATTTTTTATTGCGCATTCCAAGTAATATCAATCAAACTGCAGTTGGGTTGTTTTGATTAAGTCAGTCAAACTTAAACAAATACAGGTAATTCTGCAGTAAAACGTGAACTCGCGATGCCTTGAAAGTGGACAAAACCGGCTTTTTTGACAAAACGTGTTTAGGGTTCAGATCGCGCTATATGTGGAGAATAATGCACTGCATTTTTTTTTTAAGGTGGCGTTTATCGGTTTTTGCAAATGAACTCTTCATATATATATATATATATGTTATCATCAAAGACAAATGTGATTGGTCCACCCTAAAGTGTAATGTGACAATTATATCTATGTGCTTTAGCAGCGAGCTGGATGATAATTTACATCTGAACAGTGACACTGAGAAGCGTTAATAGGCACTGAATTGATTGAGTTGAGTGTTTCATGATCATGTGTCTGTGTTTGTGTCTCTGCAGCAGCTGGATCCTCCTCAGAGAGATCAGCTGATCGGTGCGTTGAGTTCAGTCACTCAGCAGTTACGCAGACTCACAGACATCAGCTGGCTCAGTCAGCTCATCGACCCGGCCGACGACGAGGTGCGTGACATCCAGATGTTTTTGGGATGTTTTGGTGAGTGTGTTCCAGTCTAATGTGTGTTTGCGCGCAGGGTCAGCTGTCTGATTTCTCCAAGCGCAGTCGTAGCGCTAAATTCCGCCTCGTGCCCAAATTCAAGAAAGACAAAAACAACAAAAACAAGGAGACGTGCGCCGCCCTCAACATGCCAGGTATGACCTGACCTTTGACCTCTGACCTCTGACCTCGTGCATGAGTGTAACACATGTGTGTGTTGTGTGAGCAGTGAATACGTGGGGTGTGGATGAAGTGGCCGTCTGGCTGGAGATGCTCTGTCTGGCTGAGTATAAGGAGATCTTCATCAGACATGATATCAGAGGACCAGAGCTGCTTCAGCTGGAGAGGAGAGACCTGAAGGTATTAGCGCTCAACCTCTGGCAAATACCATGAAAGATGCACACATTTAGATGCATGTCTTGGATTGTGATCCAGGAGTTTTCCAAGGAGGCTGCAAGGGGTTCGTGGAAAACAGCCTACAGAATAACAGTGTAAAAAATGTCTAAATAATAAAGATAAGATTAAACTTTTTAAATTTGATTAATAAAATTTGATATAAATATCAAACAAATACATAAATTTGATTTTAAAAGATAAATAAATAATTTATTAAAATAATAATTGTGGTTTAAATAAACAATAAATAAATTTGGTTTAAAAAAAAAAATTGGTTAAAATAATATAAATAAATAAAATGTGTTTTAAATAGACAAGAATTACATTTGAATTAAAAAGTATTAATTTGATTTAAATAACGAAATTGATTAAAACAAATAAATAAAATTTGATTTAAATAAATAACATCTAAACAGGGTTATTATAGTTAACTAAAACTGAAAAAAAAAAGAAAATTCGTTACTTGAAATAAAATAATCATTAATTGAAATAAAGAAAAAAAATTTAAAAAGTAAAAGCTGACATTGTATTTTTTGTTTGGTTTAAATTGAAGTACTAAAATAACAAACTAAATAAACTAAAACCTAAAACTCTAGACAAAAACTAATAAAAAAGACAAAAACACACAATAGAACTCCTAAATCTTGAACTAAAATTAAAGTGAAAACAGAAAATATAGAATAAAATCTCGTTTAAAATATGAACAAAAACTGTAGTAGTAAATGAATAACACTGCATTTAACAGTATAATACTATAGTGAGTAAAAAAATAATGATGAAACATAATAGACACTTGTATTGGTGTTTTTTCACAGTATTAATGAGGTCTTTACACATGAAAAGATATAACTGCCTTTTAAATTTTAGTATGGGGTCCCTGGCACAAGGATGATCATATTTGATCTGTATACTATGTTGTGTACAGAGCGAAGTGTGTACTATTTGAGTCAAGAACTACAGACTTAAAACATCTTGTGTGTGTGTGTCTCTGTCTGTGTGTGTGTGTGTGTCTGTGTGTGTGTCTGTGTGTGTCTGTGTTGCTTTTATCCAAAGTGACTTGCATTGCATTGCAATAAAATAAAATAATAGTAAATTATTAAAATAAATAATATAAATATAATTATAGTACAACAGTGGGTAAAACCCTTTTACATTTATGCAATTGGCTGATGCTTTTATCCGAAGTGCATTGCATTGCAGTAAAATAAAATAAAAAAATAATAGTAAATTCTTAAAATAAATAATATAATTATAAAATTGATTAAAGATGAGTTGTAATGTGCAAAGAATAATAGCCAGTCTCACACCTAAACATTTACTTTTATCCAAAGAAACTTACATTGCATTGAATGTTTAAAATAAATTAGATTAAGGTAAAACAATAGTTTTTAATTGTTTGATCAAAATTGAAAAAAAAAAATTTGATTGAAGATGAGTTGTAATGTGCAAAACAATGTCTCCCACCGAAATATTTACATTTATGCATTTGGCAGACACTTTTATCCAAAGTGAGTAACATTGCATTCAAGCTATAGAATAGAATAAAACATAAAATATTGTAATTATTTGAAAGCAATAAATTAATAAAATAATAAATACAATTATAAAATTGATTAAAGATTAGTTGTAATAAGCAAAACATAATGTCTCCCACCCAAATATTTACATTTATGCATTCAGCAGACACTTTTTAATTGTATTGAACTATTTTCATTGATTCCTTCCAGCATTGAATGAATAATATTCATCATTTCTCTTCTTTTGTCCATTTTATCATACATGCGATGCTACCTTAGGATTTGCCTTAAAGAAGGTATTTTAAAAATGTGTGATGCCTTAAAATGCTGTCTAAGTAGGGAGCTCACTAGGTTTGGGAAGGTGACAGCGTCATGAGACCTTTAACATGTTGTTGTGACAATCAGCTGTATTGACTTATCAGACTCGACCAATCAGACGCTCCGCTTTGCCCCGCCCCGCCCATCTGTGTCTGTGTGTGTGTGTGTGTGTGTGTCTGTGTGTGTCTGTCAGGATCTGGGAGTCACTAAAGTCGGCCATATGAAGCGGATCCTGCAGGGAATCAGGGATTTGAGTCAAAACAGCACAGCCAGCGAAGCCTAGACACTCCGCAGCCAATCAGATGCCTCGTTCGGACGTGACGCAGCTTCACCCGGCCAATCAAACGCTCAGTCACGACTGGAAGCAGCCATACTCCACCACTCGACTCGACCAATCACAGTGCCTTCTGTTCTCCACCTGTGTGACATCACTTTGGGGGAAACTATTTTACTAGCTAGAAGGGGGAGATTTATCAAGAGCCATCAGAGGGTCGTACCAATATCACAGACTTTGAAGAGCAAATCACCATTCAGCCAACATGAAATCCACGCTCAGCCTTTTTTCTTTGAAATACTTTCACTTTCTTAAAGTAACAAATGGTTGTCTTCTAAATCTGCCATCAAACCCGAATAACTTCCTCCACCTCTCAAACAGCTTTTCATTTCCGCTGAGGTCACCAAGGCCTAAAAGTTATATTAACCAATAATCTCAAACCCCACGTTTCACGATCCAATCAAATCCCATGGATAACAGTATGTCCCGCCCTCCATTATTTTTTTTGTTAAATATTCAATTTCATTTTAAAATGAAAGGTGTGGTGAATGCTGTTTCATGTTGTCTTGAAGCTCTGTGGCTCTATTCAAAACCTAGTGAGCTGCCTTTGTCTACTGCCTGCTTTCTGAGCCACCAGAGACTCTCGAAAGATTTCCAGTCGGACTGATCCTCAGATGAGCACAAAATACACAGTACAACAGTGGGTAAAACACCTTTACATTTATGCATTTGGCTGATGCTTTTATCCAAAGTGACTTGCATTGCATTGCAATAAAATAAAATAATAGTAAATTATTAAAATAAATAATATAAATATAATTATAGTACAACAGTGGGTAAAACCCTTTTACATTTATGCAATTGGCTGATGCTTTTATCCGAAGTGCATTGCATTGCAGTAAAATAAAATAAAAAAATAATAGTAAATTCTTAAAATAAATAATATAATTATAAAATTGATTAAATATGAGTTGTAATGTGCAAAGGATAATAGCCAGTCTGGTATTTTATGATTTATTATTATTTATTAATAAATAATAATAAATCATAAAATACCAAGCTCTAAAATATTTCATCAGGTTGAAATTGTTATTCTTAAAAAAAAAATTGTGCAGTAAATCACGAAAATCTGTAAAAGTCATGCATAGTGGTGGCAAAAAGGTTGAGAACCACTGCTATATATTAGAATTATTATTGACTTTTCAACCTGTTTTGTTGAACTTGTAATTATAAGTTCAAGGCATTGCAAGTTGAACAAACTGAACTTCAGAAAAGCTCCAGCTGGAGTTGATCTGAATGTAAGCGGCTAGTTTCCCATGTTTGTGTCTTTACCATCACTGTTGTTACCTGGCGCTCTTTATTCTTCTTCAAGGTGATTCAGTCATGAAGTATTGAGGTATATTTGCGGTCCGCAGCACAAGTGTGGACAGACGCTGGACTTGCGGCTGGAAGCTCGTTGCGTCGTGCCTGGTTAGGGCACGACATGAAATACTATTTCAAATGCCGTACAAACTTACAAAGTCACAGTCGCCTTGACAACAGATAGAAATGTTTTCTATTGTGTTTCTAAATGCTTTTTTTACAAACTCTTCTGGGATTGAACATTGACTGTGTCTGAGACAAACACTGTCTTTACCCTTTAACTGCTTTGCACACTTCATGTGTGTTTGAGTTTACACAGTGTCAAGTGTGAGAGTGTGTGTGTGTGTGTGTGAGTGTGAGAGTGTGTGTGTGTGTGAGAGTGTGTGTGTGGGTGTGTGTGTGTGTGAGTGAGAGTGTGTGTGTGTGTGTGTGTTACTGTTAAATATTTATTTTATTGTTAAGTTATAACTTACATCCATGTGACGCTGTCCATCTCTGATTTTTGTTTTATTATTATTTTTTATTTTTTGTATATAGGCCTTCACTAAGAATGTAAATAACTTGTTACTGTACAGTGAAACCGTCTGTATTAAAACAAGGTCTGTGTAACTCTATAAACTGCTGTCTTTTGTGTCACATATTTTAGTTTTTTTTTTTTTTACTAAACAGAAGCAGAGTAATAAATTACATTAAATAGTGTCATTATGCTGTACATATATATATATATATATATATATATATTTTACTTTTATTATTAGAAAGTGTATATAATAGTATATTAACTGTAATTTGCAGTAATTTTACATTGTACAGTGTCATTTTGCTGTATGTATATTATTCTATATTTTAAATTACTTTTATAATGGTCATTTAAAAGCAATTTAATATAAATAAATTACTTTGTATAGTGTCATACCATACATATATATTAATTTTATTTTTTTTATAAAATAGATTAGTAATTAAAAAAAATTATAATAGTTTTAATAGCAATTTTTAATAGCATATTACATTGAATAGTGTCATACCATACATATATTTTAATTGTATTAAAATTCATTTTAGAACAGTAATTTAAAATTTGTATTTATTACAATAATAATTTAATAGGAATTTAGTATATGTAATAAATTACTTTGTATAATTCTGTACATGTAATTTTATTTTAATTACAAAAATATTTTAGAATAGTAATTTAAAATTATTTTATAATAGTAATTTAATAGCAATTTATTATTATTATATTATTATAAATAACATGGCGTACTGTCCAAACTATTTGATAGATTTTTTTATTAAAATATAGAATAGTAATTTTAAACAGTTTTTTTATAATAGTAATTTAATAGAAATGTATTATAAATAATCAATTACACTGTATAATATTGTCGTCATACTGTACATAAATCAAAAAAGGCTAATCAGGCACCCACTGTGGCAGCACGCTTTTTAAATCTTCACATTTTAATGTAAATAAAATCCAAAAATTCATAGCACATGAAAGACGTAAATAAATGCACATTGCAAATACATATATGCATAATACCATCATATACTACGGGCCCTATTAATAAACTTATCCTATACTCAGGGGCCTGGCTGAAAACGAACACTTAAAGGGATAGTTCACCCAAAAATGAAAATTAGCCCATGATTTACTCACCCTCAAGCCATCCTAGATGTATATGACTTTCTTCTTTCAGACGAATACAATCGGAGTTATATTAAATAATGTCCAAGCTAATCCATGCTTTATAATGGGAGTGGATGGTAGCCCAAACTTTGAAGTCCAAAAAATTGCACCCATCCATTATAAAAGAAGTCCACACGGCTCCGGGGGGTTAATAAAGGCCTTCTGAAGTGTAGCGATGCATTTGTGTAAGAAAACTATCCATATTTACAACTTTATGAACCTTAATCTCTAGCTTCCTCTAGATGTTGTATTCGTCTGAAAGAAGAAAGTCATATACATCTAGGATGGCTTGAGGGTGAGTAAATCATGGGCTAATTTTCATTTTTGAGTGAACTGTTCCTTTAAAATGAAAAGGACATGATATTACCTCTATGACCAGTAGAGGGCTGCAGAGGATCACTCATTCATTCATTTACCGTTTCCAATACAGTTATTTTCACGTTTTGCTTTTGGATTTACATCTAGACATTAGAAAATCACTTTTTGTCAAAGTTCAGTGCTGTTTTGTACTGACGAGTTTTCAAAAACTCACTGCATGCATAAATCACACAAATGACCTTTTCTGAATTCAAAACGGCAATTTTCGGCTAAATGTGACTAGTTGAGCTGTCCTCAGTTTAATGCTTGTGTGTGTTTATTTGTTTGTTTGTCTGTCTTTTGTCTTTTTCTGTTCTGCACCCCAGAATGTTTCCCTCCTCTATTCATTTTGTTTAGGATATGACTGTGACAATTTCGAAGGGTGAACTCATTTAAAAAGCTAAACAAATGTTAAACAAACAAAAAAATCTTCTTTCTCCTTTGTTTATTTTTAACCAATAAACTTGATTATTTATTTTATTAAAGAAGATTTTCACTGAATAATTGCGGAAAAATGTAAGAAAGTAAGAGCCCTTGAGCAGATCTAATAAAAAAAACAAAAACGAATGAATGTGTCTTGTTATTTTCTTTTCTTTAGGTGTGCATTAGGCTGAACGATTTGCCAAGGTTATCAGCATTAAAAAGTTAAATCTGACTGTCAGTGTTGCTTTTTGCAGCACAAATTTTGTTTGGAAGGATGAAAATAACAGTACATTTTCATCAGTTATTTTATCAGTCATTAAATCAGATACAGATAGAAGCACAGTAGGATCACATTTATTTGAATGCATTTGTGAGAGCGCGAGCGTGTGAATTAGTCCTGCCCGTCTGTGCAACGTCTTTCTTCTACTTATCAGCAAATGTATCTTTTTCTGTACGTTTTTTTTTTTAATAGTGCTTTCTTTGGGTCCACGTCTGTTGTTTTGAATGAGCTTTAAAAAAATAAAGCTTGAAACGAGAATGAAAAAAACGTTCCTGCGTTGGCCGGGAATCGAACCCGGGTCAACTGCTTGGAAGGCAGCTATGCTAACCACTATACCACCAACGCTTAGAAGTGTGGGAAGGTCATCAATAGTTTTTAAATGAAACTGAAACATTTACGCGTTTTTGTGTTGCTTTGTGAGTATAATAACAGCTACTCGCATATATCATGCTATATTTAATGGTATTAAACATAATTTCGTCAATTTCATCTTCAAATTCATTCAGTTAGCATTAGCCTGATAGCTGTTGCATTCAAACACACGCTTTCAAACAGCGCCTCTCATCGATCTGCTGATTTAATCTCTTTTACTCTAAAAAAAAATCCAACATTAGACCTTTGTGACTATCTGTGTTATTATATTGATTTCTTTTAGCGTTTACTGCTAGTAAGTCATGCGTGTGTGATTTGATCAGAGTGTCGGTGTGTATTTTTGTGGTTTGTCAGAAGCTAACAGGCTTTTCATCTCAGACTATTGACTTCTGCTTCAGAAATGGATTTATTTGATGATCTTCCGGAACCTACAAATGATCCAGGTGGGTTAATTCACACCAATAATGCAATAATAATCATCTTGCACGTGTGAACTAGTGATTTAGATACAGATCTACACTAGCACTAGCCTGACTTCAGTATTTCCAGCAAAAATAAACAATAGTGTGCCTAATTAAATTACTATCTTATATATGCATGCATGTCACTCGTTTTGAGAATATGTACTGCAAAATGCGTTTATATGTGAGTGCATGTAAATATTTCTGTTTCAAATCCCTAATAAGTGAGGCTCAGAAATGCTGTCTTGGTAGGCAGCTCACTCAGTTTTGAAAAATAGCCTGTATTTATTGATGCAGATGCATGTGAAGTGATTAAACCGATCTCTCTCTTCAGTGTGAGGATTGGTGTTCATTATAATATGAGGTTTTATT